CCATTCTTCTGGTACCAAATTCTGTCTTAGTTATCTACTACTGTTGTTGTTAAGTGCCGTCGAGTTGGTTCCCAACTACAATGACCCTGCATAGGATTTCTGAGGAGTGGTTGGTGAGTTTGAACAGCTGACTTTGCAGCTAGCAGTCCAGTGCTTATCCTACAGCACCACACCAGGACTCCAGGCAGAGGAATGGGGCAGGTGAGCTCACTTCTCCATCCACTTCCTGGAGGAATTCCAGGGAATTAGCTAATCAGGAAGCAGTCTGGTGAGGAGGAGGACTGTCCTTAGAATGGCCTTGGTGGGCACATAAGTCCTCAGCAGGGCAGGAAGGCCCTGGGGCACCAGGAAATTCAGGCCTTGCTCTGGAAAAGGACAGTCTGCAAATCTTGCCTCATCTCTAACTCAAGGGCCTCTGAAACCCATGGGGACCATGTCTTCATCATCACCAAAGTTAGAGGGGGCCAATGAGGCAGAGGGAACCCAAGTGGTCAGCACCTAGTGACATGAGCACCATTTTCCAAGCTGCATTCCTGAGCCCCTCTGACTGCCTCAGGCAGCACCTCAAAAACTGCCTGAGTGTGGTCCTTGCAGGCACCACCGGGCCTCAGTCTTTCCACATGGAAGTCTCCACACACTCTTTGTTTGGCTTTGGTTGTTCCCAGCACAAGGCTGAGATTGAGTAAGGTATCCACCCATGGGACACCCTCTTTTGCAGGGCTCTGTTGATGAGTTTATAGGTGGGTCACAGTGGGTGTGAGAAGTGTAAGCATGCCCGAGACCCTCCACTCTACCTGTCTCCTCCCAGAACCCAGTTCTGACCCAGGCAACCTGGTTATGTGCCACTTCTGGGTGGAGGTAGGCAGCAGTCTGGCTCTCTGAAAAGGCCTATCTACAGCTGGCTATGCTGGCACGTGGTTCAGCGCACCCTCACATCCACCTCCTGGCCCACCCCGAGAGATGGCCATTCTTATTATGAGTCCCATGGTCAGGCAGGATGCTTAGACTCAGAGAAGGGGAGTGATCTGCCATCCATCCACCCTGCCTCCCATGCTCCCTGGACTGTGGAGACAGATAGGATTGGGCACCACTCTGGCTGCCAGGGAGCTCAAGAGTCACAACTCCTGGCCTTTGGGATAGCTCCACCCCTGGACAGGTGGATTCACATCAGAGAATCATGACTCTTGGAATCGAAACAACAGGTCAGTCACAGCTCCCTGGTCTCCATCACACCCCTCCCAGACTGAAAGTCACCTGGGTGCCAGGCACCCACTAAGCTCCTCTCTCTATCATCCCCACAGCCCTTCGGGAAAGCACTCAGCAGGGTGGAGACTTGGAGAGGTTGTGCAAGTTGCCCACAGTCTTGCAGCCAAAAGTCAGGGAGCCTTAGCCCAGCTCCTTTTCCCCACACTCCTACGCCACTTCCTTTACCACAATGTCACTGGCCCACCTAGAATCCAAACAAAGTTGACATGGCAGCAGCAGCTTTGGTTCCCACTGGAACTCTTGGTGTGTGGGCTTTCAGTGTCTGCCAGGAGAGCAAGGGCCAAGCCCAGGTTCAAGGTGGCAGCTCTTTGCTCTGAAGGTAGGGTACAACAATGTACAGCCCTGATCTCTGGTGACCAAAAACAGGGTTTCTCCTCTCCTGCCCAGCACATGGTCCTTCCACCAAGACTCATGTAAGGCTTTCAGAGAACCATCACTCCTGGTGACCCTTTGGATTGGTGCATTCTGGGAGTCCTGGTGTGGCACTATGGGTTAATGTGTTGGACTGCAAAGTTGGTTTGAACTGCAAGGTCAGTGATTCAAGTTCACCAGCTGCTCCTCAGAAACCCTATACAGGGTCGCTATGGATCAGAACCGACTTGAAAGCACTAAAAAACAATAACATAAGCCAGCAGTGTGAGTTGCATTGTCCCTAGCTTGTGGATGAGGAAATTGAGGCCCCAGGGAAGAGTGATTCGACCAAGTCCCACAGCTAAACACTCACACCCTGGCCCTCATCTTCCTTCAGGTCCCTTAAATTCTTCCCCATTGCCCACCACACAGCAGATGACCCTTGGCTACTAATCATAGCGACCCTGCCCAGGATTTCTGAGGCTGTAAATCTTTACAGGAGCAGAAAGCTCATCTTTCTCCCATGAAACAGCTGGTAGTTTTGAACTGCTGACCTTGAGAGTAGCAGCCTGACTGGTAACCACTACACTACCAGAGCAAGAGGTTGGCAGTTTAAATTCACTCAGCAGTGCCATTGAAGAAAGGCCTGGCAATCTATTTCCATAAGATCATGTCCATTGAAACTCCTATGGAGTGTTCCTACTACAGCCACTTTTGTCTCAGTATATTAGGATTTGAGAGGCAAATAAGTTTTGTAGGGTTATCTCTGTCGAGGTCCTATGTCGGGGTCCCGCCTCAACAAGGAAGTGTGGGTGTCATGAAGAAGGGAGACCTGGCAGCAAACGTGATAGAGAAAGAGAGAGACGAAATATATGCAAAAAAGACAGACACACAGATATGATGCAAGCTAGCAGGTAGACAGATCTGCAAACATTTTGCCTAGCATTGCACAGCATTGCATGCAGAACTCACTCTACCTGAGCCTTTTATTCTCTTTTTTAGGGAGGGATTTGTTACAAAGGAAGGATGTAATTCACAAAGGGAGGATGTGATTAAGACAGGATACGGAACTGAAATGGGATTAATCATTCAAAACTGGACATAATGATTCACAGGAACAACTTTTAAGATATTTTCATAGTTTTTCTTAACAATCTAACATTTTTATTTTTACAGAAAAAAGGTTCAATCAAGCTGTTATATGTTAACTTTTCGGCTTAAATGATCTAGAGTAGCGACGTGCGGTTTCTTAAGGATAATTAACATAAAGCAAGGTTCCTGAAAGGAGCCAAGCTGTCTCTGTACACTTTGCAAACTTTTGTTTGTGAGCAAGATCTCAGGCACTGGACTTCATTTATCTACACCTAAAATGCTACATTGTTCTTAATTATCACATTCCTATATACTTTCAGGAGGAAGGAGAGCATCTGGGTTAAACTGATCATATTCAGAGGTGGTTTAATGGGGCTGCCACTGATCACTCCAGGGTCTGAGTATGCTGTCCCCAGCACATCTCATCCTTGCAGGAAATCTAGATCTGAGTTACCCAGCCTCTGTTTGGATTCTTTGAAATGACAGGAAGCTCACTACCTTACAGATCCAGAAGCTCTTTCTAAAGCGATGTTTATATATCCGTGTGGGAACCACACCTCTGCCTCCTGAAATTTCTGCCCTAGCAGTGACACAAAACCCCCTCTGCCCTTGGTAGCTCCAGTCCAGGGATGGACCTCAGAGCTCCCAGGGGTCCACTTACCAGCTTCAGAGCAGAGCTGTGCCTCCATCAGCCTGAGGTCCTCTGGTCAGGAGGGAATCTCTTGGAGGGTGCTGAGGGATAGGTTTCCACAGGTTCTACAAGTCCTCTTGTTGTGGGTTGGGATCATGTTACAGAGTTGATGATTAATTAGAAGTTGTTGTCACGGGTTGCAGTAGTCAGGAAATTTCCTGGTGAATTCTCCTGGCTCCAGTCAGACCTGCCTCAGCTGACTTGTCTGAGGAAGGTAGAGAGTCATCCTGAACAGGATGTAGGGTGGACTTCTCATCTACTCCAGATCTGTCACTTTCAACCTGACTGGGCATCATAATTACCTAATGCCATTTCATATGCACCCATGCCTAGGCTCTGCCCCCACCCCCAGAGACTCCAATTCCATTAACCAGGGTGGGACCCGGGCATCAGTATTTTTTTAAACAAATTACCCCGGATGATTCTAATGTGCAGCTAGGAAGGAGATTTATTGCTGCTGGTCCTGGCAGATAGAATCATCCAGTAAATCAATGTTACTGAAATGGGTTGAATTCACTGCATCCCAGGGCCGTGGAGGTTGTGCCTGCTCTGGATAACCCACAGAGTCTGAAGAGAGAATTGTCCCCTTTGGAATTGTTTCTCAGTCTTGCTAATGCTGGAATTCAACTTTGCCGCTGTGGTGTGATTCCCAGCGGATTGTGACTCATTGTGACCCTACGGAATGGAGCAGAACTGCCCCCTAGGCTTCCGTAGGCTATAATATTTACAGTAGCTCATCAACAGATCTTTCCTCCTGCAGAGCGGCTGGTGGGTTTGAACCTTTGGATTAGTAGCTGAGTGCTTTGTGCCACCAGGGCTCCTTCTACTTTCCAGAGTCCTCTATGAAATGCATATGTCCCTGCTGAAGATTCTACCAAAGACCTGACTCCCAATGTGCTTGTTGTGTCAAAGAAGTCAGATCTTCTGCCTCCTCCATTTCCATTAAGGAAACGGATTGATCAAGGGAAAGTGGCTTGCTCTGATCTGGTGCTTCTCAAATTGCAAAGTGCAGATGAGTCACCTGGGCAGCTTGTTAAAATGCAGATTGATTCAGAAACAATCATGTTACCTGCTATGCCCGCCTCAGGATTCTGCGGGGCTCCTGGCAACCCCTCCCATCCTGGGTGGTGCCAAAACCTCCCTCATTCTTCCTCCTCCCCTACCCTGGCTACACTTGTAGTGCTGGCTTCCTTGGGAGGTTGCCAGAGGGTTGGAGCCAAGAGCACCTTGTTGATAAACCGCAAGCCTATAAAGTGATGGAATCTTATCAGCGAAACCAGGTCTGGAGCCTCTGACTGTCTGGAAAATTACTGAGCAAGCTGTGGGTGGCAGATTGGCCCATGCAAGCTGGCATGATGTGGACCCATCAGAGCAGAGATTCTGTGAGAGTGAGCATTCTGAGGAACTGGAATCCTGTCTCAAGTCTGACATCTAGGAGAAGGGACCCCAAAAAGGCCCCATCACACATTCCCACATATATTTATTTAACAAACACTAATCTACGTGACGGAGTCCTGGTGTGGCACTGTAGGATAAGCACTAGACTGCAACGTCAGTTCAGACAGCAAGATCCGTGGTTCAAATTCACCAGACTCTTCTCAGAAACTCTATACAAGGTCATGATGAGTCAGAACTGACTCGATGGCACTTAACAACAACAACAGAATCTACTTGACAGCAAATAATCACAACAAGGGGTGCCAACATGGCAACTGTTCTAAGTCCATTTTCTTCTTAACTCACTCACTAATCCTCATGGTAACTTCTTGAAAAGGTTCTATTGATTGTAATCATTCCCATTTTACAGATGGAGAAAGCAAGGCACAAAGAGAATAAGCAACTTGTTCACAATCACAAGGCAGTAAATGACCGAAACAGAATTTGGACCCGGGTGTGGTTCAAGAACCCAGGCCTGTACAGGGTTTCCAAGGAGCGTACTGGACTACGCTGTCATACAGTGCAGAACTTTTCGATTTTTGTTGACTGTTTGCCTGAATTCGAGGTGCAGGTGGCCCACGATGGAGACAGCACCCTCCAGAGCCAGCAGCACAAGGCTGCTGCCTGGCAAGTCATTGTAAAGGTTTGTTCCAAGAAGGGAGTAACTGGCCCATTGAAAGGATGCCAACCTATGAACAGCGATTGGGACGGCCCCTGCTGGTTGTATTGGGTACTACAGGATGGGCTGAGGCCCAAGGAACCCTGGGGAAAGGGAGGCAGGCCCAGGGAGGTCCACACCCCAGGAAGGAAGGTCAGAAAGGGGGAATTGAGGCTTCTGAGGCCTCTCCACCTCCTGTCCCCACCCTGCAGTCCACTATAAGGTCTGTGTGTTGCCATGTTGGCACCCCTTGTTGGCCATCAACCCTGTTTGCCCTGTGCTTCCCCACAGGCCATCTCATAAGATGCCTCAAGAATCTGAAAGGGAGCAGGGCAATGGTTTCTACCTCCACCTTAAAGACAAGGAAGCCAAGGGCTTTCCCAGGAACCGGGTGGGAACCCAGCCCAATCTGGACACAGTTAGGCAGCCCAGCCCTTTGCCATCAAGGCCCTGGGACCCTTCAGCAAACACTGGTAGCATCATGGTTACAAATTGGGCTGCAAACCGCAAAGTCAGCAGTTCGAAACTACCAGCTGCTCCGTGGAAGCCTTCTGCTCTCGTAAAGATTTACAGCCTCAGAAACCCTGTGTAGGGTCGCTATGAGTCGGAACCCACTCCAGGACACATAACCAACCAACCAACCAACCAACCAACAACAATAAAAACAAAAGCAATCAAGCAATTCCATCCCTAGGTAAATACTCAACATAAACAAGTATGTGTGCACACAAAACCCAGTACACAAATATTCAGAGCAGATTATTTATAACTGCCCCAAACCAGAAACAACCCAAATGTCCATTGAGTTGGATGCTGCCATGCACTGCTCAAATCCCCCCTCAGAAATGAAGGACTTATTCTCCCAACAGCTAGAGTGCTGCCCTCAACTGTCAGCTGCCTTCGGGACCACCTCACCCAAACCCTACTGGGACAGCCTGCATCGGATGACCAGTTCGGTGGGAGGATGACATAAAGGAGCCATTTGTTGTAACCACATCTCAGTTCAGCTCTTCCTCCCTCCAAACCTGGGTCCTTCCCTTCCTCCAGGTGTTGGTCCAAGAATGCGCCTTAATAAACACCATGTACAAGGGGAACCCAGCCTCCTACACTATCAACAGACAATGGAAAATAAATGATCACATATTCATACCATGGGATGTTCATGACTATACAAATGAGCAAATTACTGTTACTCACACCAATGTGGATGAACCTCACAGATGGAATGCCGAATTTGGAGAAACAAGGTACCAAAGAGCTTCCCCCTGCATGCTTCCCTTTACATGAAGTTTAAAAACAGGCAAAACTCTGGCAGTTCATGACTGAGGAGGGCACAAAGGGACCCTTAGATGCTGGAAATATCCTACATCTTGATCTGGGCAGTGGCCAGGCAGTTGTGTATATATACATGCAAAACTCCAGCCTGCAGGACTCTCAAGATATTGTGTAAGTTATAACTTAGCAAAGAGTTAAGGAAAAAAGTAAAGGTGTGTGGTGCTGTGGGCTAATGCACTTGCCTGCAGAGTTGGCTTGATCTGAAAGGTCAGCAGTTCAAGCATACCAGCTGCTCCTTGGAAACCCTATACAGGGTCAGTATAGGTCAGAACTGACTCAACAGCACTTAACAACAACATATATTGCTTGGGGATCTTGGTGGCTCTGTAGGATAAACACTGGACTGCAAACCCACAAGGTCGTTGGTTTGAACCCACCAACTGCTCCACAGGCTTTCTGCTCCCATAAAAAGATTTACAGCCTTGGAAACCAATATAGGGTTGCTAAGAGTCATAACCAACTCAACAGTACTTAACAATAGCAATAACATATATTGGTTTAGGAGCCCTGGTGGTACCATGGCTAAAGCTGCTAACCAAAAGATAGGCAGCTGTTCTCAGGGTTTAAAAAGATGAGACTTTACTCCTGTAAAGATTTACAGTCTCAGAAACTCTGTATAGGATTGCTATGAGTCAGAATTGACCTAATGGGAGTGGGATTGGTTTTCTTAACATATGCCTAGGATCCTGGTGGTGCGGTGGTTAAAGCACACTGCTGCTAACCAAAAAGTCAGCTGATCAAACACACCAAATGCTTGCTAGGAGAAAAGTGTGGCAGTCTGCTTCTGTTAAGATTTACAGCCTTGGGAACGCTATGGGGAAGTTCTATACCACTATCCTATAGGATCGCTATGAGTTGGGATCTATTTGATGGCAAAGGGTTTGGCTTTTCTAGTATATATTGACTAAATTCCCTTCCAGCCCTAAAACTGATTCTCAACGATGGACCGATGCCTGCTGGAGCATCCACACGCCCTCAGGCTTTTGAAATCAGAGAGCTTGGCTAGCACTGCCACCTGGTGGAAAAACGTGGAACTGACTCTCTGCCATCCAGTGCTGAGCCTGGTCCGGGGCAATTGCTCTCAGCCACCCCACTGAAGCCCACTAACAACTCTGGATCTATCCGATCCCTGTGGGTCAAAAGCTAGACAACCAACCTGAACCTTAAGGTTAGAGAGTAGGGAAGAGACAGAGACTTGAGTCTGTTAGTAAAGTAGCTTGTTTTGGTTATTTCTAATGGATAATTCCTGACTCATAGTGACTCATAGTGGTCCCAACTTATAGCGTTTTCTAGGAGAAGCTGGTGGGTTTGAACTGCTGACCCTGTGGCTTGCAATCAATGCTTATCTGACAGTGCCACACCAGGAGCTAGTAGTTAAGCCTGTCCCCAATGCCCTGGGCCCTCCTGGCTCCTGCGCCTGCCCCCCACCCCCAACAACACTAGAGTGCCTGCCAAGAACCGGAAACAGGAAGGCTCAGTGGGGTAAGTGTGGAGCCTCACACGGGAGGAGGAGGGACAAAGGGGCGTTGCTGAGGGATAAAACAGTAAGGAAAAACCACGGAGGGGAG